CACGGAATCAGAGAGTGATGGTCGTAGACGGGAGATGTTCCTGAGGTGATAGAAGGCAGACTTAGTGACGGATTTGATGTGTGACTGAAATGAGAGAGTGGAGTCAAGGATGACACCCAGGTTACGGACTTCGGGAGACGGGGAGATGGAACAGCCGTCAATGTGGAGGAGGAGATCCCCAACCTTCCGGAGCAGTGCTTTGGGGGCCACAACCATGAGCTCAGTCTTCTTACTGTTGAGTTTGAGTAGATTTGCTGTCATCCAGGTTTTTATGGCATGGAGACAGTTGACCAAAGACTGTGGAGGGAGCTGGGCGGATGGTGAGGTGCTGAGATAGAGCTGAGTGTCATCAGCGTAGCAGTGGAAATTGAGACCGAATTGACGTATGATCTGGCCAAGTATGGTATGGCATGTAAATGGTGAAAAGTAGGGGACCAAGCACGGAGCCTTGGGGGACACCATGGTTGACTGGGGCCGAGGGGGAGGATGAGCCGCTGATGCTAACAAACTGAGACCTGGTTGATAGATAGGACTTAAACCATGACAGAGCTGTGCCAGTGATGCCAAGGTTGTCAGAGAGGCATTTCAGGAGGACTGTATGAGAAACAGTGTCAAAAGCAGCAGAGAGGTCGAGGAGGATGAGAATACTGATTTGTCCGGAGTCAGCAGCGAGAAGGAGGTCATTAGTGATCTTGAGGAGGGCGGTCTCTGTGCTGTGATGTGCTCTGTAGGCTGACTGTAGGGGTTCGTAGAGCTCATGGTTGGACAGATGTTGATGAAGCTGGGCGGCGACTGCTCTTTCCAAGGTTTTGCTAAGGAAAGGAAGGTTGGAGATCGGTCGGTAGTTGTTCAGCTCCTCAGGGTCCAAACCAGGCTTCTTGAGGATGGGAGTGATGGAGGCGGTTTTGAAGCAGGAGGGAACTATTCCAGATGACAGAGAGGAGTTGATGATGTCTGTTATGATGGGGCAGAGGGTGGGAAGGCAGGCCTTGACCAGCACCGTGGGCAAATTAGAAGTTGACAGTATTAAACAGTGTACAGCCCTGGAGGTTTAGGCGATAGGAAACAAATTGGTGTGTACAAATTTACACATTTACAGACGTGCAATAGATGCCGTATGTAAATCAAAAAGATAATATCTCTCAGATGTATATTTACTCGCACTTGGATGAGGACTACTGTTTCTGTTTTTCTGTTTTCTTTTAAGGTCTTATTTTGCCAAATGTTAAGATTACTGTATCATAATCCAACATCTGGATTGGAAATGTTTAATGTTTAATGCTTAAATTATGTCAATAATGTTCTATGCAGTGGTTCTCAAACTTTTTTCAATAATGTACCCCCTTTGAAAAAAAATCTCTGCCAAGTACCCCCTGATCAGCGCAAAAACTATTTGTTAGGGAAAAAATGCCTACATAAAGAGGTACAGTACAGCGCTGCACCATCGGTGTCTGATTTATTAAAATAACAACATTGTAACTGAGAAACACTTAAAGGTGGGGTAGGTAATTCACTTCAGAAACACTTTTGGTTATATTCCAATGCTCTAAACATCCCGATAGCAATGAATACATTAAATGCTTTGACAATAAATACATTTAAAAATGTCATCTGTGGAAGCCGTGACGCTGTAAAAAGCGGGCCGGCAATTATCTGAGCCGGCTCGGCTCAGATGATTGGGCCGGCCCGGCCCAATCCGGATTCATCTTCTTATTATAGACACATGCATTTACAAACATTTGGACTACCTATGTTGTACTGTATTATCTTTTTGATTTACATACGGCATCTATTGCACGTCTGTAAATGTGTAAATTTGTACACACCAATTTGTTTCCTATCGCCTAAACCTCCAGGGCTGTACACTGTTTAATACTGTCAACTTCTAATTTTGGGAAAAACGAAAACGTCTTTTAAAACTACAATTCCCAGTAGAGACGTGCCATAGAGAACATGTTGCGAAATACAATAGCCAGCATGTGTAGTTCTGGGGGGCGTTCGAGTCCAGTTTTGAATAGTCTGCCGTGGTTTCGTTCCATTTCAAAGAGCTTGGCGCTCGGCGTAACCTTGGCGCACTGCCACTCCAACATCCAATCCCAGAGCTTGTTGACTTATCACGTGGTTTTTCAAAGCGGACAGGCATCGTCACAACAATAGCTGGGGATTGTGGGTAGTGTAGTCTCTTTGGCGCTCCACATTTCAGAGAAAACAAGTTGTTTCTCAGAATTGAAGGGGAAAAACACAAAAGCATTGTACACAATTTAAACCTATCAATGTCATTTAATTAACAAAGGTAATCTGGTGTTTTTGAGTTGATGAGTAGTGGAGATATCACTGTCAAATCAATCGACAGTAAGGAGAATACTTACTTCCGGGTGTACAATTCTCCGTTATCCAATGGGAATGGACGCTCACATTGCCTTTAAGAGCTGCCGACATAAACGGATGCGGTGCTTCCCTAAGCGTCAAATACCGCCGCCGATGGGAATACATTGCAATCAGTTGAAAGCTCTTTGCGTCCGTTTATGAAGCTGAAGGAGCCTCGGCGCGTCACAACTGGACGCCACGGAACCCTGACCAAGCGTCGCTCCTGGACGCTTAGGGAGTGAGAGTGTGTTGCGTATTGTCATACCGATATTCTGTACAAACTGTGAAGCCCACTGAGACAAATGTAACATTTGTGATATTGGGCTATATAAATAAACATTGATTGATGATTGATTGAGTTAGTCACTTATTTAATGTTTGTTCTTTCTGATGTAAAGTCAAGGTTGTAACTGTTTGCAATGAAATTGTGGGGCACTGAACTGTTCCTTTGAATCTTTTGAATTTTGATATATGATAGTCATTCAAATTTGAAGGAGGGTGAGCAAGCGTCTTGAAGAACATTCATCATTAACTCCTCCAAAAAATATAGTTTATTCAATAATAAATGAATATGTGAATCATAACAGTGATTGACAGCTGATAGGAATAATATGATTGTTAATAGTATCATATTCATTCAGACAAACATCGATGAGACAGTTAATTAATGTACTTATTGCAGCAGTTTGCATATATTGGTACCCCTGCTGGTCTAAGAGTGAGACAAACTCATTCAGTTATTGTTAATTTAAAATTCATTAAATTATGTCTGCCACCTTATATATTTATATTTAAGGATTCACTGTTTTGCCACAATAATGTCACCTAATGTTATTGAGTTAAAATATCAATATTGTGGCTTTCCAAGGTAACTGATTGATTTGACTGTGATCAAAATCTCCTGAAACCCTCTTGCCACCCCATGAATATTTGTCTAGATCCGCCCCTGCGTGTAGGTAAAGCAGGATGTAGTCAAACCTGTAACCACTAGCCTCTTCTTATGACACAGGGAGAGTGGAATGTGTGCTATTGTTTACCAAGCTAGATATGCACACTGAATGAAGGAAATCAGAGGTTACACTTAAACTGAAAACAGCTACTGTATCTCATGTGTGGTAATGATAATTTCCCCCCTCATCATTCCTCTGATTCTGATTACCTAAACTTTTTTAATCCTTGGGATTTTTGAGTTGATATTGGAAAAACAAATGTTTTCTCATGTGATAAATTAAATTCGTGTGCAACAGATGGGAGTGCATTTTAACCCATAAAGAAATAATACATAAGAATACAAATATATTTTCCTAAATGGCCCCTTGATTTTGCGACAAACAAACTGTATTGTTTGCAGAATTCAGACTTAAAACACACATTTTACACAGACATGTCAACACAGGCAAAGTTGATCAAATAAACCCTTGATTTGCCATAATGCGTGACAAAGTGAATACAGTGCAAGATAGTCTATGATGTGTAGGAAGTAAGAAAAAGAAGAGACATCAGCTCAGCTCACCTGTTTGTATCGACACACACCTGTTGTCCCTCTGGAGTCGCAGGTCTCTGAAGAAAAAAACAAGCCTAACTATACTGCATGGTTTCCTCCGGTAATTGCAAATAACTCAACACGTTGGAGTTGTGAGATTTCCGGAGGCTGCAGGGAGGAGAAAACAAATATAACCTGACAGCCTGGAGATTAAAGCGAGGGCGGGATTAGGACAAGAGAGTAAAGTGGTTATTATCAATATGGGTAAATCACACTATATATTCTCATAATAGGGATTCATTATTTTTAACGTGACGTTTAGGTTTACCTTTATTTAATTATAATTCATTCATAACATGAAATTGGAGGAGTTGTTAATGTTTGCATTGATTCAAACTCTTAGCCTAATCATATATGCAGTATATACCTAATTAGTTGTGCCAAAAGTCCTGAAGAGAGGATATTTTGGTAAAACCCATAGACTTAATGGAAAAACCATATTTACAATGATACTATAATAAAATAAGAATTGTTTTTGCATTTGTCTCCATCTACTGTCTGGTAAAATACACTGCATTCATGTTCAACACTAAGCTGTTGTAGGATAAATACATATAAATAAAATTATATGATCTCTCTTTACTTGACAAACGTTTTAACAAATATACCAGAGGAATCCTGTAAATATTGTTGTTATAAACTATAGGCTACATTTTAAATTGGGAACATATTGTAATATTATATTATTAATCATAGATCTTAAATTGTAAGATTGATCATCTAAGTAAAAAGTGTCTAGACTGTGACAGATGCAAATGTAACTGACAGATGCATACCTTTCAAGCTTTTAAAGTTATTTTCCCTCTTTTTTCCTTATATTGCTGTTGCTTATTGACTTATTTGTTGTACTATTTTTCAATTATTTATATTTTTAATAACATTTTATTTTCAATGATCATAAAAGTCCGTTTTTGTCACAATAATGCTTTTTACTTTCTATCAGCCCGCCCCTTCTCTTCCTGCTTCATTTTCGCGCGAGTTATTGCAGGGGGCGGGGTCACGTTGTGTCACGACACATTCTATTGGACAGCTTCACGTTTACCCGCGGACTATGTAAAACGTACGTGCCAAAGTGACCAATCGCGGTTGACGCTCTACCAGCAGTGGCGCGAAAACCTTTCAGTGTGTAGTTTGAGGGCAGCACAGTACACGCCGTACCGACCTTCGTGCAGAATTTCAAGATTTTAAAGTAATATAAATAATTGTTAAAAATGTCAACCGACGTCGTAGACGACCGGGAGATGAGAGAGGCTCAGAGGGATTACCTGGACTTCCTGGACGACGATGTAAGTCCATATGTTATCATGTTTAAAACTGTTATGGGATGAAGAGAGAAACCATGCGGTCGAAACAAAAGAAATACCCATCATTTATTTAGTTAGCAAGAAATATGACATCAGTAAGCAAACGCTATGTTCTTAATCCTATTATGTTCTGTGCAACAGTTGTCTGTTTTACGTCTAATTGTGTATTAATTTGAGTTCGCTGCATAACTTTTCTTAAGCCTAGAGAAATCATTGGCAAGTCGTTTTGGAATCACAATGAAAAAACACCGTTATTTTTGTCCGTTTTCTGCAGCAAGACCAGGGGGTTTACCAAAGCAAAGTTCGGGACATGATCAGCGAGAATAAAGCTCGACTCATCGTCAACATCAACGACCTGAGGAGACGCAACGAGGCCCGGGCTGCAAAGTAAGGACTCTTTGTCATGGTAATAGATCTGTCACTGCAAAGCCTTCATGAATTATAATGCACTCTAAAAACGTTTGGGAAAGCAAAGACAGCTGATCTAAGAACATTAGAAACACATTTTAAGTGGCATACTGTTGCGTTAAATATTATACTGTTTGTGCTAGGTTTACACATTAAAGCCTGCAACAGTCTTACTTTGTCTCATTTGACTTGTATTCTGTGCAAAAGTTGACTTACAAACATTGCTTTAGTGATATCAAACGCATGAAGGAAATGGTGTTGTGTAGCATCCTGTAGACGTCCTTACCTGGGGTTACATTGGGATGTGTGTGGGGCGAGGTGGTGAGCTCGTTGCTGATTTAATTTAAATCCTACATGTTATAATGTACACTTATCTTTTAACTTGTAAAAGTACCTGTGTATTCACCAAATACACCTTATCATGCACGTTTAAGTAGAAAATGATTATCACCCTTATTCTGATCAATATTAAAGCCATGATCATTCATCACAATTATCTATTGGTGTAAATACTCTATGAGGAAGACGCATTTTCAACACTTCTTTTAAGCATATATATTTTAGAAGACGTTCAAGGCCCAGCCCAATTCAACCAGAGGTTTTTACACATCTTGACCAAACTAATTGAGACTATCATTTATTTAGCTGTGTTATTTTTCCTGTATATGACACAAAATAAATCCCCCAATGTTATAGCCATAGTTGTGTGCATGTCTCACGTCCTCTTGTTTCTGCTAGGCTGATGAACAACGCCTTCGAGGAGCTGCTGGCCTTCCAGCGGGCTCTGAAGGACCTGGTGGCCTCGGTGGACGGCACCTACGCCAAGCAGTACGAGGAGTTCTTCATCGCCCTGGAGGGCAGCTTCGGCAACAAGCACGTCACCCCCCGAACCCTGACCTCCCGCCTGCTGGGCAGCATGGTGTGTGTGGAAGGCATCATCACCAAATGTGAGTTTATTTATGCCCGTCTTTAGGCTCTAACAACCAGTACTCTTTGACAGCTTTGCACTTGATGTGTCCGAGTATAGATGTGTATATAGTGTGGGTTTTTTTTATACAGAGAACAGGGAAAGAGCTTTGATTAATCAAAAATAAATAAAGCGCCAATATAAATATACGTGTTAGGAAAGAAATGTTATCGAAGTTGCCTTCTTCCTCTTGGAAAAAGGTTTTGCATTACGCGTAGGCCTATATACAAAGTATTAGGGTAAAGTGTTTACAAACTGACTTCCTTTGGTATTGCAGACGGACTTCCGTCAATAAGTCACTCTGCATTAATAAATGCAAATCAATTATTATATTTTTGAATATTGTTCGTTTTAAACAAACTGTATTTCAGAGAAGAATTTATCTTTCCATTTTATAAATAATTTATTCTCAAATGTTTTGAAAGATAGATTCTAGATCTTTCTAATGATGATCATATCAAAGGCTTAAATGAAGGAGGAAATATGACAAATCAAGATATATTTCGCTGTTTAGTTTAACATTGCTGACATTATAGTGTCTGACTGGGCAAATACAAGTCTTAAGTTAACATAAGTAATCTTATTAACAAAATATTTAGACTTGGAAAAACCCTCAAATGTGGCTAAGAAATAACAAAATGTTATTCTATTATTCTCAGAATAGATTGATCTTCCATGTATTAATCTGAACATTGTCTTTGAGTTAATTATGGCTCTAATGGTCATATTGCCAAGTCTTACTTAGGTAGTATTAAAAGCATTTACATTAATACACCATTCATTTCTTCTTCAGGTTCTCTGGTGCGTCCTAAAGTAGTGCGCAGCGTCCACTACTGCCCGGCAACCAAGAAGACGATGGAGAGGAAGTACACAGACATGACCTCGCTGGACGCCTTCCCTTCCAGCGCCATCTACCCCACCAAGGTAAGCATACTTTTTACTATAAAGTGATGTGCTCAACCCTTAGGTCAAGCTTTTTTGTGTGTGCTTCTTCACACTTCTCTTTAATATCTCTGTCTCTCCACAGGATGAGGAGAACAACCCTCTGGAGACAGAGTTCGGTCTCTCTGTCTACAAAGACCACCAGACCATCACAGTGCAGGAGATGCCAGAGAAAGCCCCCGCGGGCCAGCTGCCGCGCTCCGTGGACATCATCCTGGACAACGACCTGGTGGACTTGGTCAAACCTGGAGACAGAGTGCAGGTGGTGGGGACGTACCGCTGCCTGCCGGGCAAGAAGGGGGGATTCACCTCCGGCACATTCAGGTAAAGACTGATGAAGTGTTAGCAACTGCTGAAGAGTACACTTTTGCGATCTTTGTATTAATTTCCCACTTTTTTCTGCTCAGGACCATCATGATAGCCTGCCACGTCAAACAGATGAGCAAGGAAGTGTCCCCCAACTTCTCTGCGGGGGATGTCGCCAAGATCAGGAACTTCAGCCGGGCTGGAAAAATTGTGAGGCTACAATCTTTCCGGTTCTGCTTATAAGAAAGTTAAATGGAACAAGAACAAAAAAAAGAAACGATAATTGTGTGCGCTATAACACCGTTTTAAAGCCTTACATTATACAAAAAAACACAGTTGAATCTCCTAAATTATAATAAATAAATAAAAAGAGAAAATAAATGCAATCTACTGATGCAACTTCTAACCTGCAAGTGTGGCTGTAGGCAGTTTCCAACATTGGAAAAGGTGGCTACACATCAGTGGTCACGTTAACCGAATATTTTCCGTCTGACCGATTTTTTTTTTAACAGTGACGGAAAAACCTGAAAGCAGTCCGTCAATTTGACAGATTAGAACAAACGCCAACAAAAAAAAAGCAACGCCAAATCATTGAAATGTCTGAGTTTTGGCTTTACGCTGTGAGAGAAAGTTGTGAAAGAAGCATTCCTGGAGGCTGCCGACGTGCTTTTTGGGGACAGTAAAAATAACAGTAACATTTCAACAGGTTTTTGATATAATAAAAACTCAAGTTAGATACCGTTATTAATCAGCTGTAAGTTTTAGTTTGTTTGAACTTATTCATTATAATTATTGTACAACATGGTATAAGAATGCAAACTTAAATTGATTATAATCTATTATCAATTCAGGTTAAGAAACTAGTGCTGCTTGCATCCTATTTTAAAGGCATTTCTTTTTATACTCTACTAATGCCCCGGCCACACAAGGACGAAAACGGCCGTTTGCGTTACTGTTTAGTGTCATATAGACCATTCGGCCATACGAGGACAACCGAATACGGCACTAAACGACTGAGGAAACGATAACGGGTCCCAAGGTGGATAGAACGGCATACGCAACGCTCTGGGGGGTCAAACGGCTCCGTGTGTGCGCCCTATACGAACATTTTCTGATAGTGATTGCGCAATAGCAATAGCCCCGCCTCTCCCCACCTCTTCTGCTCACCTCCGCTTACCCCGCGCCATTGCTGATGTGTTTCGCCACCAACAACAACAACAACAATGGCGGATCGCAGAGTTGCTATCGTGCTCCGGACGCTACTGACCATGCTACAGTTCTTTGTGCAACATCTACAGCAGACTTACACATCCGGGGGGGATCTTACTCGCCGCTTTTGTGGATATGTACTGCAGCTTCAGCGATCATTTTCTGATAATGATTGCGCAATAGCCCCGCCTCTCCCTACCTCTGCTGCTCACCCCCGCGTCAAAGTAAACTGCACACTGAATTCAGATTATTTATCTTTCTCTCGATATGGACATAAACGCGAGTGAAGTCTAATCTGACAGGACGGAGACACCTCTCAAACTACCTAAACTAGTTATAAATATGTTTATTTTTACTGTCGGCCGGGTCACTCATTACTGGATCAGCTGCTGCATGAGACAGACACTGACGCTGTCCAAAGAGAGGGTGGAAAAAGAGAGGCTCCGTGTATTTTATTATTATAATATATAGAGTCGTTATTCATTTGTTTTAAAGCTCAATAAATAACAAAGAAGACCTTTGACCGGCACTTTTATAATTTTGTCGGAAGGTTTAAACTTTAATACACGTTGACTGGCGAAAAACTCTGCCCGGTTCCCTCGGCCCCCACCGCGGAGAATAAACAGAAGGGCAACCATGACAACCATGCTTCTTCGCTGCTTTTGTGGAGGATGTTACAGCGCCACGTACAGGCTCCTGCATCTGTACTGCAGCTTCTCCAGCGGTTGGAGCTAAACGGAGCGGTCTCGTGTGGACAGACACTATCCGGATAACTATTGCGTGTGGACGGAAGCTTGTTTGCGTTAATCCTATGCGTTTAGCCGTTTTCGTCCTCGTGTGGCCGGGATCTAAAATGCAACAAAAAAAGGGTTTGATTCTATTAATTTAGTCTTTTTTATTGCACGTTGGCAGCAGATTCCTGTGTAGCTTCAGATCTGAGTTGTCTTATTAGTAAGCCTAATTTATACTTTTGTAGCATATTTTTTTTTTTTTATATAATGGCAAAGAAAGGGTTCAGAGTCTTTTCTTTTGTTCCTGTGTCATATGTGGCAGCACTGTTCAATGTTTCTTGAAAACATTACCCACTGTAGTGACGTGTGAATAAACTCCAACTCTGTATCAACAACACTGTTGTGTAACTTCAGTTAAATACTTGTATGTGTGTAGATTAGAAAGAGGTAAGATAAAGGATCTGCAGTATTTTATGAAGTATTAATCGTACAAAGGTCAGTTTTATACAAGTAGAAGTGTGTATTTACCTGGTAGTAGGCTGTCAGTAATAGCTACGCCTCTCTATTTGGACTGGTAGATCTCGGCAGACTGGCAACTTTAAAAGTAGCTCTCGGTTCAAAAAAGGTTGGGCACCCCTGCTCTAAACCTTCAATTTAATCATGCTTTCTGATTAAATTGTTAGACACACATGATATGTTAATTCTGTTGTAAATCTGATAAACTTGACGATCCGATTGCCTATGATAGATTGGGTAATGAAAATAAGCCGGTGTGGTTGAGTGGGTTAAATAACAAACTAAATCTCCCTTTTCTGTTTTATTAGGATGTGTTTGATCAGCTGTCTCGCTCCCTGGCTCCCAGTATCCATGGCCACGAGTACATAAAGAAGGCCATCCTCTGCATGCTGCTGGGCGGCGTGGAGAAGGTTCTGGAGAACGGCTCGCGCATCAGAGGAGACATCAACATCCTGCTCATCGGTACCACCGTTTTCTTTAGCTAATAAAACTTGACTAAGCAACTTTTTATCTTTTATCATTCCAATCAATCACACTTTATTTATAGAGCCCAGTATCACAAATACACATTTGTCTCCGAGCCCTTCACAGTGTGCACAGCATGCTACACTGGGATACTGAGTTGGTAACATGCCTCTATGGGACATGTGTGCAAACAAAGTAGGAGAAGAGAGGGGACAGTCAAAAGTCCCCTGACAATCTAAGCCTACAGCAGCATAACTAGGGGCTGGCTCATAGTATGCCTGAGCCAACCCTAACTATACGCTTTATCAAAAAGGAAAGTCTTAAGGCTACTCTTCAAAGTGGAGATGGCGTCTGCCTCAAAAGAGCTCCTCTTCTGTGTTTCGTATTGCCAAGCTAACTGCAGAAAAATATTTTTGTTTTGGAGATTTTGTTTCTGAAATATGTTTAATGTCTTGTTTATATTTATGTTGCATTGTTGGAGGAGCCTGGAACTTAAGATTTTCATTTCCATATCTACACTGTAGCTGCTCCGCTATGAGAATTAAGCCTTTGAATTAAGATGGGTGTTAACGTTAGTTTTCTAATTTGTTCACCAGGTGATCCATCAGTGGCAAAGTCCCAGCTGCTGCGCTACGTGCTCCACACGGCGCCCAGGGCCATCCCCACCACCGGGCGGGGGTCCACTGGAGTGGGTCTGACCGCGGCAGTCACCACCGACCAGGAAACAGGTATGACACACAGACACATGTAAACAACGGCTCACACACTTTCAGCTTTTACTTTAGCTTCTACTTCAATGTTCTGTGTTTTCCTCCCCAGGTGAGCGCAGACTGGAGGCGGGGGCCATGGTGCTGGCGGACCGAGGCGTGGTCTGCATCGACGAGTTCGACAAGATGTCCGACATGGACCGCACAGCCATCCACGAGGTGATGGAGCAGGGCCGCGTCACCATCGCTAAGGCCGGCATCCACGCCCGCCTCAACGCCCGCTGCTCCGTGCTGGCTGCGGCCAACCCTGTCTACGGCAGGGTGAGGGAACACAAGAGGCTGATTGTTCTTAACGGATACAAACAGGAAACTTCCCTTCCCACATTAAGACAATAATTGTATCCATTTCAAGTTTTCTTAAATATTATGTTTAATAATGCAAATGATCCTATATGTTCTATTTAAATATTTTTAGAAGGGAATTGTAAACATTAAATAAAGCCATGTTAAATGTTCTTAATTTTTAAGGCACATTAGAGGAAACGGTGTTTCCAGGCCAAAAAAAACGTTTTGCCATGTATTTAGGATAATATCTATAAATCAAGTAATGACTGATATTTAAAGAAACCCTTCTCTAAGAAAAGTCAGTCAGTTCATAATAAGTACAAATGTGTATATATTTTTTTAAACAACCACCTATAATCAAAAAAAAAAAAAAATCTATTTTGGATACTTATTTGATCAAGTTATCAGAACTATATTGTTTAAATATGCTAATGAGGCATTATCTAATGCTAACTGTTGATGTATTTAGGAGAAATAAACACACACAAACCAACAACGTTAGTCAAAATAAACCCCCAAATATGTATTTTCTCTCCACTAGTCTGAAATGTTTTACCTTAAGGAAGCAGAATAATGTACAGTGTCTAGCTTCACTCTTTTCTCCCTCTTATGCGTTAATCGTGCTCTGTGTTTGCAGTATGACCAGTATAAAACCCCCATGGAGAATATCGGCCTCCAGGATTCCCTGCTGTCCCGTTTCGATCTCCTCTTCATCGTCCTGGATCAGATGGACGCGGAGCAGGACCGCGAGATCTCAGACCACGTGCTGAGGATGCACCGCTACCGCAACCCCCGAGAGCAGGAGGGCACAGGTATGGTGACCCGAGACTTCTTGAGCACTGCATTCTGTTAGACATTGGTATTCAGTGCATGACATTAAGGATTTTGGGAGATGGTCCTGTGGGCCATCTAAGCTAATTTACAGATGGCCCTGAGCCCAATAGAGATTGCCCTGAAAAATGCGCGCTGACGAAATGACGCACGAAGGGTTTGGGGGGGCTCCCCCTAGAACATTTAGATTGTTGCAGGTCTTAGATGCTGTCTGGTGCATTCTCTAGACTGAATTATAAGATGAACCACCACAATATTATATTGTTCAATTTTATTCTTCATTTCACTTGTTTGTTTGTTCTTGTTTGTGTTTGCTCGCTTGCATGCCCTGCATAGCTTTAAGAAATACTTAAGTTGTTGGTCAAGACACTTTCCATCTGATGAAGGCAAATGCCTTCATCAGATGGAAACAAGTAGAAAACATTACATTCAGTTATAACTGCCAAAACAAACATTATTTACACTATTATGGCCCCTGTTAAAAATGTTTGTAATGTTATCTACTGTAAGTTGGTCGAACGAATGCCTCCTCATCCGGAAGCTGACAGAGCAGCAGTCGAGAGGAGCCGAGCGCATCCGCGAAGCACACAAAATGGCGACGTCAGAGTTCCCGTTAGCCGGAAAATCTAAATCTCTTCGGTCAAAATAATTTCCCTTTAGCGCAATACCGCTTCAGTTGCGCCACTTATGTGACAGACAAGAAGAGTCAATTATAATGTCTAACACTTAATGTGGAGAAAGAGATGTCCTGGATGGGTTGATTGTGCGTTGATCTGTTGGTAATGCCTCGGGGTTCCGGTGGGCATGTAAACAAATGCATAATGCTGCGCTATACTTTGCGGCCTCACCCAGTTGCATAGCGACACTTATTGTGTAGGTGTCTTTTAATAAGCAGGTAGTCATATCATTAGCTAGAACTAGCTGGATCTGATCGATATGGACATAAACGCGAGTGAAGTCTAATCTGACGGGAGAGAGAGATCAGCTGCTGCTGACGAGTCGAGACTCGACACGCAGCTCTGCATGATCACATGCAGCGGTGAGCGGACAAAACACACACTTCAGGTTAGAATATCACACGTAGCTATTTTAATGACCTCTCAAACTACCTGAACTAGTTATAGATATGTTTAGTTTTACTGTCGGGTCACTCATTACTGATCCGCGAGCTACATGATACTGGCATAATAGATTGCCCGATCGGGCAACCAGCAGGTGAGGCTTCATTGCCCGAGCTAAATACTAGATGGCCCCGGGCAGTCGTTAATGTCGAGCCCTGAGTATTTATTTAATGGTGTTCATCCCTACTTTGTGTTTTAGCCATGGCTATGGGTGGGACAGTAGACGTCCTGGCTACAGATGATCCAGACACAATCGCAGAAGAGCACGAGGAGCTGCAGATCTATGAGAAGCACAACAACCTGCTGCATGGAACGAGGAAGAAGAAGTACGCACGCATAATCTGCACTAAAAACCTTAAAATGTCTCTTTTTGTCACCAGAAAACTAACTAAACAAATGTTTTTGTTTTAGGGACAAGATTGTGAGTAAGGAGTTCATGAGGAAGTACATCCACATCGCCAAGGCTGTGTCACCTGTGCTGACAGAGGAGGCAGCCAATCTCATCGCAGAGGAGTACGCCAGGCTGAGGAGCCAGGAGCAGATGGGGGCTGATATTGCCAGGGTGAGGAAAACACACCTTATATATGTACACAAGAGGCTGTTGTTATACACACACAGATGGGTGGCGTAGACTGAACTCCTGTTATATTGCACGTTAGAGTGGGGTAACTTCTGCCTTTATCATTCTTCTCTAGATCTTTTAACTCTTAAAGGTCTCCTATCATGCGAAATACACTTTTATATGTCTTTATATACATAAATATGTGTCCCCGGTGTCAGGGAACTCACAAAGTGTCAGAAAACAAAACCCTCTCTTTTCCCCCATACCCAAATCTCTAAAAACGGGGCTACAACGGAGCTGATCCAGATTTGCGTCCGATATGTAATATCTTAAATGTGGGCTGGCTTTACACTAGGGGTGCAACAACTAATCGACTTAATCGATCAAAATCGATTACCAAAGTAGTTGCCAACTAATTCAGTCGTCGATTCGTTGGTGACGTCATCACGTGTGTTTTACGTGCCGTTAAGCTCCAACGTTATTGGTCTTTTTATCGGTACTGGAGACATTTAAAATATATGTCGTGTATTATTGCTACAAAAACATTATATCGCAGTCTTAGTGTCGCCAACTCGTTTCTAATATGCAAAAAGACAAACAAATGCGTCTATGATGTGTTGTCGATCAGACGAGATCTCTCTCCCGTCTGCGTGTGAGGGGGCGGGGCAGTTTACACACACGCAGCTGCTACATGCAGCAACACACTGCGGAGGAGATGGCGGATAGAACGCGCTCCGAGGTGGTTAAACTTTACCCGCCTCGATGCTCGTTGCCTAAAGTACAATAAGAGTTTAGCATGTAAGGGCGGTAACACGAGCAATTTGTCTAAACATTTATCAAAAGTGCTCCACATCCAGACGGAGGAATGCACCGGGTTCCACTGTCTCTCTAGCAGCTCTGTAGCCCCATCCACGAGTAACGTTTCCACGTCAGGTGTTATGTATGCTAGCAGCAACACACGGAGTTAACACAATTATACAAACATGGGATAATGATTAGAGGAAACTGAGTTACTCTTTATTTTGTTAAAGTTTCAGCTATTCTGTTTACAGTTCTGTCATCAGATTATTTAATACGATTTGTTAAAACATTGTTGTTTCTTTTGATGTGAAATATTATTGATTTAATTAATAAAAAGCAATGTTAATTTTGTTCACAATTTGTTTAGTTAATTTAATAATATATGTATTTTTGAATCAAGTATTCATCTTTATTGTCTTCATTGTTTCCACATGCCTAAAACAACCTCAAGCTAAATCTAAAAGTTGATGGTTAAATGAGAGCGTTTGAGAAATTGTGCAAGGCATACAGTAATAGTCCGAATAGTCGATTAGTCGTTTCATTAATCGATAGATTAATCGATTATCAAATTAGTCGTTTGTTGCAGCCCTACTTTACACCCACGTCGCTATCAGAAACAATGCCCGACGTGTTTTGGAAGTAATATGGTCTTTGTTTACATTAGTAATCATCGCTCACACTCAGAGCTAACCTGTACTGGAGAGAGCATGTGTAAAAAAGCAGGAAATAAAAAGGAACTCACCTTGTGGTAAACCCGCAAGAGATATTTGAGCTCCATGCTGTTTCAGAAATAATGCTTGATGTGGTTTGGCCAGTCAACACACACTCACCCACATAGCCCCACCTCCTCTCATTCACTTACACTGCTGTATTCTCCTCAATTGTATTATTGGCTCTGTGTATTATATGATAATTTAAAGGTCCCATGTCATGCTTTTCCAGTTATTATCCGTCCCCTTGTGTGTTATGTAGCTTTTTCTGCATGTAAACGGTCTGCAGAGTCAAAAACCCTCAAAGTACACCCTGTAGCGAGTACAACTCTAACACAGAAAAGACCTGTCTGTGCTGCCCCAGAACGCCTCGTTGGATATTTCTCTTTTTCCATTTTTTTTCTTCTTGAGTATGGTGACGTAACCATGCCCAGGTCCAGCTCCGTGGATCTCCACTCACAGTTCGCCCGAACAGCCTGGCTGTGAGTGTGTTTGTGTGCTCAGGTTGAGTTCCGCGGTGTCTCGCTGTCTTGCAGACCCCACGCAGTAACCAGGAAACCACACCAGTAAGCCAGCTCACACGGTCTGTTAGAGCAGTGAGCCCCGCAACGTCCCGCCAACACGGCACCCAGACCCCACGCAGCATTCTCATCTGTTTTTCATTACTGGTGTCATTTTCTGGTTGCTAACAAACGCCATAGTAACACATAATCACACATCAGAGCACCGTGGGCTCACAGGGAGGGGGGGGCAGGAGCTCCAACAAGCCGTGTAGGACAGAGAGTGAATACACATACTATACAGAGATGCTGTGTGAGAAACCAATGTGAGTTTGGAACATTGAACGATATAAATCTATTCTAGTAGACCTCAACAATGGAAATGGCCATGTCATGGAATCTTTTTAAGGGTAATCTTTTCCCAATAATTACAACCCACCCATCCCTACTTAAAAATGCAGATCCCAGTCACCATGTGTAATCACTCCTTATTTTGCTGTGAGAATGCACCATATTAATGCTTTTAACTTTTTTTAAATATATTTTTTTTCTTTGGCTGAATGTGACTGTTAGAAATCTGAAATATTATGCCCACATTGTCAACTTTTCTCACTAGTATTGAGAATTGTGTAGAACATCAATATTTTTCAAGGTATTTGATCAGAGTTAAATAATCCAGTAGTATTGATAACACTAATAGAAGCTGGGCTGATGCTAGTACCTGATGTTTTTGGGTGATATGGGCCTGCTCTGATCTCCCCCCCCCCCCCTCTCTCTCCTCCTCCTCAGACTTCTCCGGTGACGGCCCGTACACTGGAGACTCTGATCCGTCTATCCACGGCACACGCCAAGGCCCGGATGAGCAAAGCTGTGGAGATGGAGGACGCGGAGGTGGCCGTGGAGCTCGTCCAGTTCGCTTACTTTAAGAAGGTCAGAGTCCGCTGTGTCTCCTGATGAATGGAACAACCATTATTTCCCCCTAACACAGTTATTGAGTAATGTCAAAGACTTCTGCAGTTGCATGTGAATGAACCTGTGTTTTTCTGTTTTTCTCCACAGGTTCTGGAGAAGGAGAAGAAACGGGCAAAGCAGGACCGGGACTCTGGTTCAGAGGAGGAGGAGGAGGAGGTGGCGTCCACTCAGCAGTCACAGAAAACTGCCAAAAAGAGGTACAAAAAGAGTGATGTCCACTTTGAACACACAAAATGAGGTTGTCCGTGTTGCTGTCCTGGCTCCAAGATGGTGGAATGAGCTCCCCATTGACATCAGGACGGCAGATAGCTTGCACATCTTCCGGCGCAAACTGAAAACTCATCTCTTTCGACTCCACTTCGAGCGTTAGAACGATTAACGAAGCACTTTTATACTAATAAAGGACTGGATTACCTAAAGCCAGTTGAGTAGCACTTGAAATGTTTGGCTCTATGAAACCTGATATACTTATATGATTCTGTTTTCTTCAAGGTTGTGTCTTCCTGGTCGAATGTACTTATTGTAAGTCGCTTTGGATAAAAGCGTCAGCTAAATGCAATGTAATGTAATGTAATGTTAATAGCACTATTCTGTGTGTCCTGCAGGGGGCGCACTGGCTCTCAGGGCAGCGATACCTACAGCCCGTACGACTTCAGTGAAGAGCAGAATGTTCCAGAGAGTAAGCTTCACTGCCATCACCTTTCACACTGCCAAACACTAGACCAGGGGTGGCCAACCCGCGGCTCTCGAGCCGCATGCGGCTCTTTGCCTAGTTTCATGCGGCTCTTCAGTTCATATCGAATTGTATATGTGTGAGTTTGGAGGAGAGACACTGACTCCTGACTAGTGTTGCACGGTGTACCGATACTTGAAAGGTATACCGCGATACCCTGCCGTTAAAAACGTTACGATTCCTCCGTTTCATTAGTATCGGTACTTTAAGAATGACGGGGAAAAGTACTCCGGTGAGAAAGCGCCGTTTTAATAAGAGCCGTGTGTTCAACGCTCTGCTTCCAATCCCTGCACTGCAGCCGTGCCTGCAGTCCCGCCCCTCTCAAGTACGCTCTAAGTCCCTCCCCTCTCTCATGCACGCGCTAGCTGCCAGAGCATGTGAGAAAACGAGAAGCATGGCTGCAAGTGGGAGTGCAACTGCCGCTGCGCCTCGGCTTGTTGACAAAAAAGACGCCAGAAGCGACATTTTGAAGTATTTTAGCTATATCTCTGACAGTGAGGGCAAGCCTACGGACACCATGAGGCCTGTCTGTGAGACATTTATTAATTGTATTTAATACGAATTCTTGTCATTTATTTTATTTATTGTTCTCATTGTTTAAAAGGTTGTGTTATGGTTATGGTTCTGGTGTGAAATAAAGCACAATAATTACTAGGGCCGGGACTTTAACGCGTTAATTAAGATTAATTAATTACACAAAAATTAACGCGTTAAAAAAATTAACGCATTTTAATCGCACTTATTTTTGCACCGCGGAACGTTTCTCACTGGATGAGTTTCAGGCGTACCGATTATACTGGAGCACCAACTAACGTTCATGACTTCAGACAACAACAAACCACAGTGAACAACAGTGGGAAATGTTGTTTTAAAAAACGGACGGATGGAAGCGTCGATAAGAGCACGGTTGTGTGCAAATTATGCAAAAAGGAATTCGCATATCACCGCAGCACATCAAGCCTCAAGTATCACCTCAATGCAAAACATATAGCAGCTAGCGTGGAAGCTAGCGTGGACGTTAGCCTCTTTTATCGCGTTCACACCAAAAAGAGCCGGTACTAAAATTAGTTCATGAGAACCTTTTTACCCCCACGAAAGTCCCTGCTAGAGAGCAGAGAGCTGCTAGAGAGCAGGGACTTTCGTGCGGCTCTCTTGTGAGAAAAGAGCTATATTTCTGATTGGCTGGGCGGATTGCAAACTACGCCCCGTAAAACTCCCAAAAAGTTTTGTGAATTTTATTATCCTCGCATTAGCATTATTAGCATTAGCCCAGCGCAGAAACGCAGAGAGACTAATTTATGGCAACACAAAATAAAACATGGGAGCGGTGGAGATGAGGAGGTGTCGGCGTTCTGGCGATTTACTCGGAAGGCTGCTGGGACTCCCAGCAGCTTCTACTGAAGCCAGTCCCCAACTCCGGGGACTTCCGGCCGGGGACTTTGGGCGGCAGTATACGCCGTGAAGTGGTTTGCGGCCTGCCAGTAAACCCAAAGCAGAAGAAGAAGAAGTGACGTCAGCGGCTTCATTTGCCTAATCCTCCCCCAGGTTCAAAGAGTTCTCATGAACTAAATTCTCATGAACCTTTGTGGGAAAAGTACTGCGGTGTGAATGCGCCTAATGGTAAACTAAAATCCATGTGAAAAAAATTGCTTCTCACTGTTCTTAGGTCAAATATTTATATGTGATTAAAAATGCGATTAATTTCGATTAATTAATTACAAAGCCTCTAATTAATTCGATTAATTTTTTTAATCGAGCCCCGGCCCTAATAATTACATTTAAGACTGTTTCCCTTTTTTTAAGAAAAGTATCGAAAAAGAATCGGAATCGCAATTCTTGACTTGGTATCGAAACCAAAATGTTGGTATCGTGACAACACTACTCCTGACAGTTAAACCTGATATTTAGTAGGTCTGTTAAGTATTGAATGTTGATAATTCTGACGTAATTTGGCCGGTCAAAGTTGTTTGGGCTCGGATAAAATCGCTCCGTTATTTTCGTCCCGTGTTACTTTCGTCCCGGCTCTCCCCCATCTCCCCACGTATGTGTGGTGTCAGGTAATTTTGATGTGGCCCAAGAGCCAATCACAATAATACCTGCGATGCAGTGAATCATCACCTTTGAGGGGGGGGGGGAAACCTATCGTTGATTAAACACTATCCAGTGTTTCGCCTACCATTGTCTTGGAGGTGCGCTGCGCCCCACCAACGGAGCCCCTCGCCCAAAAAATATATGTCATTTTTTTTTTTTAATATATATAGCACCAAATTGCAAATAATCTATAACTACTGTCACTTTTCACATTGAACATGTGCTCTTTTATTAAATAAACTAAACGCTTTCATTTTAAGTTGTGAGTTTAGTGTTTTTGACCCTAAGAAACACTGATGCAATAATCAATAACAATAAGCTCCTCTATCTGCTCCAGAGGATTTAAAAAAAATATATCCCAATGCCACAAAAATGCATCAGTGACGTGGTTGAAATCTTGTCTCCAGAAAACAAAAAACTGAAACAAGCGGTATCAGTGACTGTGTGTTTGATGTGGCTCTTTGCAGTAACATAGAAAAAAATGTGGCTCTTAACCTCTGACTGGTTGGCCACCCCTGCACTAGACATTCTCACCATGCAAATCTAACTTTTGAAAGATTTATGCCTTTTTTTTATTGTGGTTTTTACAACCATTCTTATTTTTCGAAGGATAAAAGGCAAAATGATCTGTTTTTAGAATCAGAATACTTTATAAATCCCGGAGAGAATGGGGCCATGAGACGGCTGCTCCCTTTTAGAATAAAAATAAATAAAGATATAAATATATATATATTTACATTTGAAATGAAAGACAAAGCATATTTATTAGGGCTGTCAAACGATTAAAAGTTTTAATCAGATTAATCACCATTCGAACTATGTCCAAAATATGCCATTTCTTTATGTATATTGTTGTGGGAATGGAAAGATAAATGAAAGAAGGCGGATATATCCATTTAACATACAGTATCTATGTTTATTATAACATTTTTCTGTGTGTCAAAATGAAAGACAGCCCACACACCTATCAATCATCAAACCGTGGGGTCTTAATTCATTACGTGTTGATTTCTGTCAACGGGGGAGTACTTCAGGAAAGTCGACGGGGGGGGGGGGGGCTAGTGGAGTACTTCGTGACCACAGAGAGTGAACGTTGTGATCAGCTGTTTTAGCGCAGTTCTCCAGTGAAGGGGGGGGGGGGGGAGTCTCCCTCCGCAGCCGGTTGGCGTAGTTTTGGCACAATTCCGTTGTACAGACCGACGTTAACAGCAGCCCTGTCTGTGCACACGGAGACCGACTCTGTCGTCCGGTGATCTAACCGCCTTCTGGAAAAGCTTCACAAGTACGTCGGTACGCAAATGCGCTTTGTGACACAAGTGACGGTACGCATTTCAGATTACGCACATATCCTGCTTACCAGTTATGTGTTACCTGTACTACAGCAAAAGTATTCTCCGTCGGGACTTCCTGCAACAACACCACGCCGTTATCTTGATTCTGATTGGCCAGAATACATTATCAAAGATGTTCTATTGAGAAGACGATCACTACGTGACAAAAGTTTTCAAAACCGTTTCTGGTCTTCGGTATTTCCAGACAAGTGGCTACTGAAATCAATCTTACTAACTGCTGTCTGCAATTTACTCCGCGAGTTGGCGGACTTTATTTTGCTTACTTTAACCTCATTTTTCATGGTGGGGCTAAGCCATTTCTTGGTATGGGTGTAGCCTACCCCAGCCATACCCTGGCGCTGCCACTGGTGGGATGTATGGGGCGGGCCATTCTGCACATGCGTTAAATGCGTTAAATATTTTAACGCAATTAATTAAAAAATAATAATTACCGCCGTTAACGTGATAATTTTGACAGCACTAATATTTATATAAACAAATAAAATGGTATAAAATATTTTATCTTTATTAACTGAGTATGTCTTTAGTACAATTTGCATTTGATTTCAAGGAAGACATTTACACTTAACTTGAGTATTGTAATTTATAAATTGTGTACCTTTAAGTCTAAATGTCTTTGCCCTCTATAGAACTTATGCTCAAGTTTTGAGGCAATTTCTATGGTGTTGAATATCCTGCAGCTTCTCTCTGTATGTAGTGGATTTCTAACGTTGGTCTTTCTGCTCTTTAGTTCAGGCCGGCCCCCCGAAACCAGCCAAGTCTCTGCGGGAGGAAGAACCGATGAAGGCCTCCTCACAGGCCGAGCTGTCTGCAGAGAGGTGGGTGATGCGTTCAAGTCCTCAATATATTCTAGATACTTTGCCATGATCAGCAGCAACAACCTGTGATGAAATAGAAGAGTGTTTCCTTAGACCTTAACCTGTTTAGCCCTGAGCCTGTTTTTCAGGTCTCAGGCTCGAAAAGGACATTCCCAGAACAAATGACCATATCTTCCCTTCTAAAAGGGTTAAATTAATAATCTTTTTTCTCAAAGTAATGATAAACCTGTGAGTTGGATGTAGAAAAGTCAGAATCAATATAGATGTTTTTATTTTAAAGTAAATTCAGATTGAACATGGTAAAAAAACTGTAAATTAGTGTCTGTCCAAAAATATTTTTTTACTTACAGTGAAAACTACCCTTGGATGTTGGTAAGGTAGACTAAAAGCTTTAGGAATCCAAAGTACAACATATAATAAGTACCCTGTATCAAGATTGATGCAAAACAAGTGACATTTGACAAAAAAAAACTCCACCTCTGAGGTGATATGGGTGGGAATGGGGGTTTTACCGTTTCTCTGGAACCCATTGGTCGATTTTGGTGATTGACATCTCTTTTTGACCGTTATAGCCAATAGAATCGAAGGGGAATCTTCCCACACACACACATGGTAAAACAAAAAGATGGCGTCTTCAGGCACGCAGTTTTGCTCCAGAGTGAAGCTGTCTGTAGCTCTGACTTCTGAAAACCGAAAAGCAGGTTTATTGCTCATGGATTATCAGAAATCATTCAAAGGGACACAGACACATTGGATTAACTTCAGCAGCGTTTTTATCGTTTTAATGCCATTGAAGACCACTTTTGACCAGACTACAACACAGGTGAGCCATGTTAGCGTTGTTAGCTACCTAGCTCCATATGTTTTGATGTCTGTTCTTGTTATGATCTCCGAGAGTTTGTATAATTGAGTGATAATGAAGGATACCCCTCGATTCTGTGTCTCGAAACGATGTGTTGGATGTGCAGCAAAGATAAATAATAAGGTTTTGTGAGTGAATTTCGGTGCAGTCATCTGTTAGCATTTTTCGCTCGTTGCTAATTCAGAGGCTCAGCGTTAACATTGTAGGGTTTTTTTTAGATTTTTTTTTTTTAAATGATCAGATAGATGAGTTTCTTCCCGTTACATGGATATAAAACATTCATAGTTTATTAAATGAACATGCCCTCAGACACTGTGTCGGGCTTAACAGGTTAAGAGATGATCACTTAAAGGTCTCCTATCATGCAAAATGCACTTTCTGATGTCTTTTATGAATACATGTGTGTCCCTGGTTCGTCAGGGAACTCACAAAGTGTCACAAAACAAAACTCTCTCTCTTCCTCCGTACCCAAATCTCTAAAAACGGGGGTACAACGGAGCTGATCCAGATTTGCGTCCGATATGACGTCATATCGGAGATGTGGGCTGGCTTTACACCCACGGCCCTATCAGAAACAATGCATAATATGGTCTTTGTTTACATTAGCAAGCATCGCTAACAGTCGGAGCTAACGCTGTACTGGAAAGAGTATGTGTAAAAAAGCAGGATATAAAAAAAGGAACTCACCTTGTGGTGAACCGGCAAGAGAAAAAGCATTTGAGCTCCATCCTGTTTCAGAAATAATCCTTGATGTGGTTTTGAACATGATATGGCGTTTCATCACGGCAGCATTTAGCTGAAAATCTCCCGGTAGAATTCTGACTAGGCATTAGCTCTCACCCCTCTTTTATTTTTTATTTTATAGCTAAGGACCCAAAATCAGCACTCCTAACAGGGCTGAAATAGAGGGGTATGAGGCATGGCTAGAATGGGTGATCTGTTTGGTATTTTGAGCAAAACACATAGACATGTATTTATTAGGGCTGTCAAGTTAACGCGTTAATAACGCGTTAACGCAAAAAAAATTAACGCCACTAATTATTTTAACGCGATTAACGCATGTGTATTTTTTTCCCTCGGCCGCCCCGTAGTTTCAGAGCGCATCGAGTTTAAAATACCATCTACAAGCTGATGCTGACAGCCCCGCTCCTGCCTCCCGCTTGTCGCAGACCACACCTCCACGCTCACCGGCAGGCACCGACTGGCTGTTGGGAGGACCGGGAGGGTGTGTGTATGTGTGGCCCGAGCGAGCGAGAGAGACCTTGCGTGCATTGTTGTTGTTAGCATCTGGTGCTAGCTAGCTGCGCTAACGGATCTAAGGAGCTGTTTAAATGAAAACAGAGGAGCGACATTTCGCCACAACTGCGCCGAGCACTTGACTTTATGCAGGAAGCCAGACAGTGGGACATTGTACGAAAAGTCAGCATACTCAGCACGGATAGTGCGCGCAACATGATTGCAGCGTCCAGGCAGCTCCCGTTCGAGCATATGCCTTGAGTTGCACATAGCTCCAACGCACACGCGCACACGCACACACACACACACACACACACACACACACACACACCATTTGTATTGTATTATTGTATGAGAGAGGTTCCAGGTTGAATTGAGGCGAATATTTGTAATGTTCAGAGGTTGTTGTGTTTAATATTCATGAGAATATTTGTCATTGTTCAAATGATAATAAACATTAGCATAAAGCATATTTGTCCACTCATATGTTGAGAAGAGTATTAAAAACTTGAAAAATATTCCTCTAAGGTACATTCAGAACAGATCAAAAATGTGCGATTAACTATGGACAATCATGCGATTAATCGCGATTAAATATTTTAATCGACTGACAGCCCTAGTATTTATATATCTGAGACTCATAATTGATGCCTTAACCTGTTAAGCCCGAGAGTCCCCGGTACTGGGGGCCTCCTGCAACATCTTGCAGGAAACAGTGTCTGAGGGCATGTTCCTTTAATAAACTATGAATGTTTTATATCCATGTAACGGAAAGAAACTCATCTAACTGATCATTTTAATTTTTTTTTCAAAAAAAAACCCCACAATGCTAACGCTGAGCCTCTGAATTGGCAACGAGCGAAAAATGCTAACAGATGACTGCACCGAAATTCACTCACAAAACCTTATTATTTATCTTTGCTGCACATCCAACACATCGTTTCACATCGTGAGGGGACACATAATCGATTATCACTCAATTATACGAATTCTCGGAGATAATGACAAGAACACACATCAAAACATATGGAGCTAGTTAGCTAAAAACGGCAAAATGGCTCACCTGTGTGATAGTCTGGTCAAAAGTGGTCTTCAATGGCATTAAAACGATAAAAACGATGCTGAAGTTAATCCAATGTGTCTGTGTCACTTTGAATGATTTCTGATAATCCATGAGCAATAAATCTGCTTTTCGGTTTTGAGATGTCAGACCTAGAGACAGCTTCACTCTGGAGCAAAACTGTGCACGTGAAGACGCCATCTTTTTTTTTTTAACAAGAGTGTGTTCGGGGAGATTTCCCTTCGATTCTATTGGCTCTAACGGTCAGAAAGAGATGTCACATGTCAAAATCGAAGAAGGGGGGCCAGAGATAAGGAAAATCCACCCAAATGGCCCCAGAAGAGGTTTTTTTTGCTAAATCTGTCTAAAAAGGTCAAATATCACTTGTTTTGCATCAATCTTGATACAGGGTACTTATTATATGTTGTACTTTGGATTCCTAAAGCTTTTAGTCTACTAACCCATCATCCAAGGTTAGTTTTCACTACAAGTACATTTTTGGACGGACACTATAATTTACAGTTTTTTACCATGTTCAATCTGAATTTTCTTTAAAATAAAAAACATCTATATTGATTCTGACTTTTCTACATCCAACTCACAGGTTTATCATTACTTTGAGATAAAAGATTATTAATTTAACCCTTTTAGAAGGGAAGATTTGGTCATTTATTCTGGGAAAGTCATTTTCGAGCCTGAGACCTGAAAAACAGGCTCAGGGCTTAACAGGTTAAATAGCATAATAGGAGACCTTTAACATTGAGTAACAAAAATCTGTCACTTCCTGTCAGAAGCTGCTGTATGATGTAATGACATTTGTGTGATTCCTCCTCCAGGCTGAAGGAGTTCAAGTCTTCGCTGTTCGCCGTGTTCCAGTCCGCTCACGCTCAGTCGGTGAAGATGAAGACGCTGATGGAAGACATCAACAAGGGCCGCGAGAGCCGCTTCACGGAGCCCGACATCCGTGCCGCTCTGGCCCGCATGCAGGACGACAACCAGGTCATGGTGGCCGATGACATCATCTTCCTCATCTGAGGGGCCGGCGTTTCTGAATTTGATTACATGGACTTTAAAAGAAACTGGGACGCGTATTCTAATGAACATTTACCCGATACTATTCACATTTAATCTGCGGTCAGTCATGAAAAAAAGAAGATATTTGAAACAGTTTGTTCTTATGGTAGTTTTGAACAACTTTACAGCAGATTGATCAATTTGATGAAACCACCAAACCAACCAGCATTGCTCCAACAGAATAAGGACATTATTAAGTTGTCACCCACACTTGTGATGTCTGGATTTGTATATAGTTGAAGAAAAATTGTAACTCTTGTGTATTAAAAAATGAAATGTAATGGGACACAACTTTGGTTCTTAAATGAACTGACAGTGCTACATTACAGAATGTTACTTAACCTCTTCCACTTGTCTTGTTTTAAGGGGGGGGCGGCATGCAATCTGTACGTGCATACAATATGTACACATCATCTGAGGGCTGGGAACCTGAAGATTATAGTTGATCAAATTGATCTGAAATCCCTCTTTTATACCACATTAAGACAGACACCTTGAGGAACACCATGGAGCCACAATTGGTGTTTAAACATGTTGGCATTTGGAGCTTTTTTTGTATTTTTGGGAAATTCTGGAAAATGCTCTGAAAACTTTATGTTGTCAATATACATAGTATATTCATGCATCCTCTGGCATAGCCGCGGGAAATAATTTTACTCAGGCGGTGCTGCCAAAAGTGGGGAGGGGGCCGCTTAAAAAAAAAAAGGCGGTGCCGGGCCCGGCTGTCAGCGATACGACCCGCATAAATTGTTTGTTTTAACTGTTAGGCTTAATAAACCATTATAGGCAAGGCAAGTTTATTTATATAGCACCTTTCAACACAAGGCAATTCAAAGTGCTTTACAAAAAACGAAAGACATTAAGAAAATGGCATTTAAAATCAGTCATTAAAAAGAAAAGATAATGTGAATAGTTCAATTAAAAGCAGCGGCAAAAAGAAAAGTCTTTAGTCTGGATTTAAAAGTAGTCAGAGTTGCAGCGGATCTGCAGTTTTCTGGGAGTTTGTTCCAGATATTTGGAGCATAATAACTGAACGCTGCTTTTCCATGTTTAGTTCTGACTCTGGGGACAGAAAGCTGACCAGTCCCTGAAGACCTGAGAGATCTGGATGGTTCATAATTTAGCAGGAGGTCAGAAATGTATTTTGGGCCTGAACCATTCAGTGCTTTATAAACCAGCAGCAGTATTTTGAAATCTATTCTTTGACACACAGGAAGCCAGTGTAAAGACTTCAGAACAGGAGTGATGTGATCCACTTTCTTAGTGTTAGTGAGGACTCGAGCAGCGACGTTCTGAATCAGCTGCAGCTTTCTAATAGATGTTTTAGTGAGACCTGTAAAGACACCATTACAGTAGTCCAGTCTACTGAAGATAAAAGCATGGACAAGTTTTTCCAAATCCTGCTGTGGCATTAGTCTTTTAATCCTAGATATGTTCTTTAGGTGATAGTAAGCTGATTTAGTAACAGTTTTAATGTGACTGTTGAAACTCAGGTCAGAGTCCATGACTACACCTAGATTTCTGGCTTTATCTGTTGTTTTGAACATTGCAGACTGAAGCTCAGCGCTAACTTTTATACGTTCTGCCTTGGCTCCAAAAACCATTACCTCAGTTTTATCTTTGTTTAATTGGAGAAAGTTCTGACACATCCAGTCATTGATTTGTTCAATGCACTTACTCAGTGTTTGAATTGGAGCATAGTCTCCTGGTGAAATGGTTATGTAAATTTGTGTGTCATCCGCATAGCTATGGTAACTTATTTTGTTGTTTTTCATTATCTGAGCCAGTGGTAGCATGTAGATGTTAAAGAGAAGAGGCCCCAAGATGGAGCCTTGAGGTACCCCACATGTCATATTTGTCAACTCAGATGTGTATTTACCTATAGAAACAAAGTTTTTTCTGTCCTTTAAGTAGGATTCAAACCAATTTAGAACTGTTTCCGAAAGTCCCACCCAGTTTTCCAGTCGGTCTAGTAATATGTTGTGGTCAACAGTGTCAAACGCAGCACTGAGATCTAATAATACTAACACTGAAGTTCTGCCACTGTCTGTGTTTAAGTGGATGTCATTGAAGACCTTTACAAGAGCAGTCTCAGTGCTGTGGTTTGGACGAAAGCCTGACTGGAACACATCGAAACAGTTATTTAAATGCAAGAAATTACTCAACTGTTGAAAAACAACTTTTTCAATGATTTTACCTAGAAATGGGAGGTTTGATATGGGCCTGTAATTGTTCATTACTGAAGCATCTAGATTATTATTTTTTAAGAGCGGTTTAATGACTGCAGTTTTCAGGGCCTGTGGAAAAATACCTGAGTGAAGAGATTTGTTTACTATATGAAGTACATCTGAGGCCATGCAACGAAAAACATCTTTGAAAAATCCTGTTGGAATAATATCAAGGCAGCAGGAGGAGGATTTCAGAAGTTGAATAATGTCCTCTAGGTTTTTATCATTAATCTGATGGAATTGTGTCATGGTGTTTGAATTGATATTAGGTGGACATAGGGACAACACATTTGCTGTACCTGATGCAGAGGCACTGACTGCTTGTCTGATTTTCTGAATTTTGTCAGTGAAGAAGGAGGCAAAATCATTGCATGCCCTGGTGGATAGAAATTCAGAGGCTACTGACACTGGGGGTTAGTTAGTCTGTCGACGGTAGCAAACAAGGCACGTGCATTGTTTTTGTTTTTGGTAATGATGTCAGAGAAGAAAGACTGTTGTGCGCAGGGGCGGCCGGTGCTATAGGCTAGGGAAGGCTAAGCCTTCCCAAATATTTGTGTCACTGCATCCTGGTAAAATAAAAATATAATGTTTGTGTCTTTGACATTAGCGCTGCTATGCAGCCACCTGTGCCATGCATTCAGTGGCGGCCGGCCTATAGGGGGGCCACCCCACCTCTTCCCACATACAACAAAAACATTTAAATAAAAAAATAAAAATGTTATATTTTTATTTTTAATGAACAAGGTAAATATCATACAATTGGTATCAGTAAAATGTATAATCTACAATAAAATCTCGTTTAAAATTGTGTTACGATATCTAAAGTTACTGATAAGTCACATGTTTCCTGCCTGGCCTTGCCCGTGGCATTAGTTTATCATTACCGGGCGCCGTGCAAGGAGCCCCCGAGCCAAACAGCAGCAACCAGCACGTTGCAAAAGTCTCAATAGTAAACTGTGCCGCCGAAACATAATTTCAGCCAATCAGCGCTGTCAAATATTTTGGTCACGAGGGCGCTCACGTTGGCGCCCACGTTGCTGCCCACGTTGCTTACGTGCGTTGACATGAGTTGTTTTTTAGACTCGTGAGTGACCAAGGTGATGCAGTAGTTGGATGAGAATGGCTTCGTGTGCAGGTGGAGTCGCCGGACCTCGGTCCGCATCCAATTCCGTGCAAGAGCTACTCTCCAATCCTTTCGAAAGGAGAAGTTTGGGAGATAAATTGATACTTAAAGACCTTGGACCGGACCAACCCGATTTGTATATATCGCAGCAAGCTCGTGAAAAAGACAAAACGTATCAACGAGGCTTCTCACGTAGCTGGTACACCAGAAAGGCATGGCTAGCTGGATGCAAACAGGTAAATGATGTCTTTTGTTTCCCATGCTTGCTCTTCAAACAGCCGGGGACAGATACGATCTGTTCAGAAACTAGACAAAAGTTAAACAAGTACAAACCACAGACTGTCTGTGTCATGGAGAATACAGTCGCTGGTTTATTTATGTCTGTATAGGCCGTTGTTGTGAGTGTGGACGGTCGGAGCATATATAACGTTAGCTTAGCCAAGCTCCATTTAGAAAACACGCATTTTAAAAGGGTTTTTCGCCTGCCGTCTGTCTGCAGACTTGTCAAAGCATTAATTCATGGTTTTTACTAACCGGTATCAGTATGTTGTTAATTCGGCATCATTTTGAAAGGTGTATTACAATTAAATCATGGTAAAATATGTTCATCTTGTTGTAGTTGTAGCCCCCTTGCCAGCGATTCTCTCTCTAGTTTAGCATGCTCAGCCCGACTCAGCCTGGTTGTTCCTGGCCCTAGAACCACGATTTTATGCGGCCAGAAACACTGTGAATTAGGACTCGCTAGCCGGTACTAGGCCAAGGGGAAACGCAACCAAAAACGGGCCCCGCACGGCTCGGCACTGTCTGTGTCATGGCGAATACAGTCGCTGGTTTATTTATGTCTGTTGGCCGTTGTTATGAGTGTGGAGTGAGCATATACAACGTTAGCTTAGCCTGGTCGACCCAATCTCCATTCAGAAAACAAGCATTCTAAAAGGTTTTTCGCCTGCCGTCTGTCTGCAGACTTGTCAAAGCATTAATTCATGGTTTTTACTAACCGGTATCAGTATGTTGTTACGTCGGCATCATTTAGAAACGTGTATTACAATTTAATCACGGTAAAATATGTTCATTTTGTTGTAGTTGTAGCTCCCGAGCCAGCGCATCTTGTTTGAATGATGCGGGTAAACACAGCTGGCAGCCGCGGTGAAACTCGAGCGTTTAGAGCGAAGCGAATATTCGCATCGCGTCCGGTCTGAACGCAGCATTAAAGCGAGCTCCGCGCTGCACTGGAAACGCGCCATTACATCACCAGAAGTCCTAATTTAAGGGGTCATTTCTCCCCCAAACAATTTTTTTACTCACTATATCAACAGCCCCACCAAAAATATTTTCCACCAGCCGCCACTGCCTGTACTACGAAGCCAGTTCAACAGACCCTGGATATGTTTGAGTTATCTTAACTAACCCTAACAAACGAGATCTCGCTAAGCGGTCCACGACGCTGGTTAATATCAACTCGGTAAATCAAGCCAGGGTTTCTCTCACCAGCTGAGAGCGCGTTCATTTGACCAATCACAAATAGAGACAGCGCAGCGTCATACTTCATTAATGAAAAGTAAACTAATATTAGACAAATATGAACTTTAAACATCCATGACTTAAACATATAATCCAGGATACAAGCCACATAGCTGCACCTGCAAGGTGAATATAGAACAACTGGTTAAAAAATAACTACCGAGTGTTTGAAAGCGTACAACAGTTTTATGATATCACTGCCCCGTCTAAGACACGAGTAGATCTGACTTGAATTACATTTGAGTTGAGTGTTTAGTCAACTTAATGTGTTGCTTAAAATAATACTTCTGCATACAGTATGCTATGTGACAATAGGTGATGCACGGCCAGATACGGCTCGAGAAGCTGACTCAGATAAGGAAATGTGATATATTATGATATTATATGAATGATAAAGTGCGACACGTCGGCATCTTCTCTGCATACGGCAGTTTAAACTGTATTTCCTTTATCCTGTGATATGACTTGA